TTGGATTATTGGTTTCATCATGCCTCTAAGCCCAATTAAACTACTGAAGCTTCTAATGGTCTATCCACGATATAGATCATCATCAAGAATATTAAGTCAACCAATTAATGTGCCTTTATACAACTTACTGAACAATCAAAAGCCTTATATCAAAGTATATTTATGGGAATAATGAAATAAAAATTTGGTAACAATCATTGTTCTCACAATACTCTTTCATTAATAAACTTTGAGTTTCTTGGTAGAGGAGATTATAGTTTAATCTCAAAAAATGAATGTAAGATAATGTGTTTCAACACTGCTCGTACAATGACTATAGAGGAAAAATTGAAGGTTAAGCGTCTACATTTGAGTCTATTCTGAGGAATAAATATGTAAGAATGATCTATATTGGTAGGCAGTATGGTTTGGGTAACCTGTATGCTCCACCTTGGGCCCCAATTTATTTATTTCAAAATGAGGTGATGGACTTTCATTTCCTACATCCTTTCCAGTTATAATGTTTGATGATATTGTGCTCTTTCACCTTAATTTTTCAATCTTAACAAATGTAAAATGTTTTTATAAAGTTCTTTGATGTCCTTAAATATTATTTAACATGATAACATGATAAACCTCAAATTTTATCATTTTAGTTTTGCCTCAGAGGTCAAGTGCTATGAGATATTTCATCTGCATCTCCAGAAGCCGATTTAATAAAAATCAAAGTATCGCTTGTGAAAATAAATTTTGAAAAGTGTTGCTGAGGAGGAAGAAAAAATCTTTATTTCAAGTGGTTCTGAGTTCTAAACAATATTGTGGTCTTATAAATGTTCAGAAATTAAAATGAAAGTCGATTCTGTTCATAGTAACTTCTCAAATCCTTTGCTTCTTTACTCACAATCTGTTGTACAATGTGTCCCATTTTTCTTGAAGCACAACTCACAGTTTGACAAGAAGACAAACTGGGATTGTTGTCAGGTAGACTTACAACTCAGCCTACCAGGGCATGAAATATAAAGCACAACTTACATGTGAAACTGTTAAAAACCATTTCATAGACAGAAAGAATACAGTGTATAAATGAGTAGTTCTATTTTATTCAGGAAGAAGAATGCAAAGTTGATTAAGTAAAAGACTAGGATGCCTGGTCTGATAACATGAATGGAAGATCTATGTCTGTCTCTCAGCAGCCATAGTGTTTTTGTTTTTACTTAGGTAATTGATCTATTTTAATTTGACTTCAGTACAGGATAAAAGATTAGGGGTCTCGTTTCAGTTTTCTGCATGTTGATTCCCAGTTACCCAAGCATTGTTTGTTAAAGATGCTGTTTTTTCTCCAGCATATATTTTTGTTCCCCTTGTTGCAAATCAGTAGGCTGTAGATACTTAGGTTTGTTTCTGTGTCTTTTAGTACACTGGTCCACATTTCTGTTTTTGTGCTGGCACCACGTTGTTTTTCTTCTAAGCTGTAAGTGATAGTTTGAAAGTTCATATAGTGGTACATACAAGATTACTATTTTTGTTTAATAATGCTTTGGTTATTCTCTGTCTTTTTCTGATTCCAGACAAAATTCATTATTGCTTTTTTTAGTTCTGAGAAAAATGATGGTAGTATTTTAATAGGGATCATCACACTGAATCTGTAGATAATTTTTGGTAATATGGTCATTGTAACAATATTAATTCTACCAATCCAAGAACAATATTTTATCCATTTTCTAATATGAAAACACTTGAACAGACAAAGACTTCCTGAAAGTGATTCTAAAAGCACAGGCAAAAATATCAAGAATCAACAAATGGGACTGTATCAAACTGAAAAATTTCTGCATGGCAATAGAATCAATTAGAGAGCGAATCGACAGTTGCTGAATTAGAGAAAATCTTTGCTAACTATTCTCTGAATAAAGAAATAATACCTATAATATATAAAGAAGTCAAAAAATTAACTCTTATAGAACAAAGAAGCCCTACAAAAAGAAAGAACAAAGAAGTCAAGGAATTAACTGAATAAATACCTCTCAAAAAAGAATGTTAAATAGCCAAAAAGTACATGAAAAAGTATTCAAATTCTCTAGCCTTTAAGAAAATGCAAATTAAAGGGGCTGGGGATTTAGCTCAGCAGAATAAGTGCCTGCTTTGCAAGCAGGCAGTCGTGAGTTTGATCCCCAGTACTGATAAAAAGGCAAAAGATTTTTAAAAAATGCAAATTAAAACTACACTGAGACTCCATCTTACCCCAATAAGATAAGATATTAAAAAAAATACTGTTGGTAAGGAAGTGGGGAAAAAGAATCTGCCTACATTGTTGTTGGGAATGTAAATCAGTTCACCCGCTACGCAAGTCAGTATGGAGATTTTCAAAAGGCTAACTGCAGAAATATTGTTTATTGTACCTAGCTATACCACTCTTTGGCACATTCCTGAAAAAAATTTTAGGACTGCACACTGTAGTGATGCTTATATGCTCATGTTTACAGCAATGCAATTCCCAATAGATTAGCTGTAGAAACAGCCTAAATGCTCATCAAAAGATGAATAAAGAAAATGTGGTATACATACACAATGGAATATAAAGAAGAATGAAATCATGCCACATGCAGGAAAAAGGACAGAACTTGAAACCAATGTGTCAAGTAAATTTAGCCAGACTAAAACATTAAGTATCATACTATTTATCATACATGGTAAATCTAAAGAACTACATAAATTAATAAAGGAGAGAGGACAGGAAACCAGGAAGTAGATTTTTGGAGACAGGAAAGGCGGAAAACAGGAGGGAACAAGAAAAGGAGAGGTGTAACACTGTGTAGCAAAACACCTTGAAACAAACACAGTAAACTGCAAAGCTCAGGAAGATGTTAAAAACTTCTGGATTTCACTATCAAAATCGACATCATGACCTAAAATGTTTTAAAAAGGTTGATTTTCCTTGTAGTATTTCACAACCTCTGAGAGCAGCATGAAAATGATTTTTTTCTTTTCTTCTTTTTCTTTTTTCTTCTACTGACTACAAGCTTCTATTTTTTTTTTTTTTTAACCCTCACTAGTTTTTTTGGCTTCTTTCTCTCTTTCATTGTGAAAAAGAAGAAAAATTCCAAAATAACAATATTCCACAGATGAATGAATAAAGAAAATGTGATATATATATACCTATAATGTTATATGCATTTACCAACCCCTCAAACATTATTGTCATGTAACATTAATATGCAGTAACATAATTTTAAAAACATAAAAAATAAGAATACATTTTTGGAAAATTCCTTTATAACTGGTCTTTTGAAGTGACAAAATTTTATTTGGTCTTTTATTATAATAAATATTTTATAACAACAAATTCTAAATTTCTGACATTTTATAAATTTTGTAATTGTTCTTTTATATATATATATTTTTTTTTTCTTTTTCTCTTTTTATTGGTACCAAGGATCGAACTCATGACTGCCTGCTTGCAAGGCAGGTTCTTATGCCACTGAGCTAAATCCCCAGCCCCAAATTTTATAATTGTTCTAATAAAAAAATCTAATCTGTGATTGCTTTTGTGCCAAGAGTTAGAGATTATTTTAAAACAAGAGAAGCTTTCCTTGTTCTAAGGGATCTTAGTGTCTGTGGGTTTGAACACTTGTATCTATGATGAAAATAGCAATAACAGTAAATTCTTTACTTATGCCATCCAGGAACTCTGCTGCATTGGTGACACAGTAGCCTCCATTTCAGTTACCCTACAGTGTGGTGATTATGCTGTTTATGCATCATCTCTTTCTCCAAGGGGGAAGTGAGCTGGGGTGTAGCGTAGTGACAGAGTACTTGCCTACATGCCTCAGGTGCTGGTTACCATCCTTAGCACGCACGCGCGCGCACACACACACACGCCTTAGGAATTCAGACAAAATGCAGAGACATTTAAACAACTGTGCCACAACACTGTCTACCAGTTTCTACAATCAACACACAAGAATTATATTGAATAATGAGAGAGTGCAATGATCCCAAGTAAAAAAATGGTCTGAAATCACCTTTAGTATTCACTATTGGACAGAACTATGACATTCTGAAAATCATGATACAGTATGCCCTATATGTGGCATTTCAACAATAGAAGGTTAATTGTTTTAAGACTCTCTAGCCAAACACTTTGCAACATTCACAGTAAACTGCAATCTCAGAAAGATATTATAAACTTCTGGAGTTCATTATCAAAATGTACATCTTGATCTAACATTTTAAAAGAAGGTTGTGAGGATGACTTTCCTTGTAGTATTTCACAACCTTTGAGTGCAGCATTAAAATGATTTTTTTCTTCTACTGACTATAAGCTTATGTTTTCTTACCCTGAGCGTCTGAATCTTTTATATGCTCCAGTTCTATTCACTGCCTGTTATTCAGACATTGAAATCCCAAATGTTAATTGTTCTTCCAAGTACATTGACAAAACAGCAGCTAAATAAGGGTAGACCAGACTGTGGTAGACTCTGACATGCATTTATGGAACAATAGAGCTCTGAGAGACAGCCTTGTAGCTCATGGGAAGACATAAGATGTACTATTTTGACTGCTTTGTAGCAGAATGGGGAACACACGCACGCAAGGGAATTATGCATTTTACTTAGTTTTGCCCAAAGTCCTCAAGGTAACAGACTCTTGTGATGTCATCATGAACTTTCCATTTCCATTGACACAAAGGCTAAAAATTGCTAATGACATCACAAAGCAAAATGGAATCTACTTTGATTTCATAAGAAATGTTTTACCTTTTATATATTTGGTACAGAAATCCAAGAATCTTTCCAAACAGGGTACATGTCACTGTGCTCATGCACAGTGGGTGACACCCTCTGTAATGAAATTCAAACCAGCTCAAAGAAAGAATTCACAATTTCAGTTGAATAAAAAAAGACATACTGAATATTGAACCTAAAAACTTTTTTTATAGAAAAATTATTTAAAGATGCATTTCTTCTAGGACATGAAATTTTCACTCATGTCTGGTTACTGTGTCAGCAGTGTCTTTGTACCTTTTTGGAGTTGGTCACAGAACCACAGAGGAACGTACAAGAAGCTTCCACTTACAGGAACACAGTGTAGCTCAATCTTTTGTTTTTTAAGGTGCAGCGATTTCAGTCTCTAAATGTAACTTCAGCCAGTCTGAAAAGAAACAGGTTAAAATCTCTTTCAGTTATAATTGGTATTTCAGATTTAATTAAAAATTAAACTTTCATAATGTTTCACCATCCAAAGCAATGCATTATCAGTCAAGCGTAGCTTTTTTTTTTTTTTTTCCTGTTAAGGGGGAAAAAATCCTTTTCCCAGAATAATTTTTAATAAAGGGGGCAGAAGCAATTCTGAAAAATAAAATATGCCTCCACGTTAAGGATTTCATAATGATGTGACTGGAAACTTGGTACTTCTGAATTTTAGATATATTTTATCTCCTTTATAAAAAGCAACACAAACTCACACAGCCTAATGATTACATGAAATGGTTTAATTCAAAGAACAAAGAAAGGAAAAACTACAGATCTGAATACACATGTTGAAGAAAAATTATGATTTCAAATAGAATTGTAGAACAAATGCTAGATCTACTGCCTTCAAACAACTGAAATGGTGGCGAGACAGATAGTGACACAGAGGTAAATGAACATACTCAGGGGTACAAAGTGGGCATTACAGTGTATTATGGGTTTAGTGTGCCTCATTTCAAATCATATTGTACATCTTGTCACAGTCAACCATAGTATTTGAAACAGCACAGGAAGATTATCAGGTTTTGAACCAGACCTTCTGGTTTAACCTCCTAGTTAAAAAAAAAAGAAATACGTATTCTTGGTCTTCAAATTTATGAGTCCAGGAATTAAGATCTACAATTACATGACAAATATTTGGGTTTAAAATGTCATACTATTTTTTCTAACCTCTTATTTCTTCCAACAATATCATCTATAAAAAATAAAACAGTTTAAGAAAAAATCATACACACTAAGATTAAGTCATGTCTTCTTTTAAGCTTCAAATAATTAACACATCAAAATTTAGAACAAATACTTTTTAAAAATTAAAATTGAATTATTATTATCTTTCTGTTATTCTACATTTATTATACATTCTGTTATTTTACATTCTATATTTGAAAATATATCGTTTTATTAATGTGTAGTGATGTTTATGTCCAACCTCAAAAAATAGAAATTAATATTTTAATATGCCTACATATGAGAGCATAATCATAAATGACCCCTGAAATTGCATCTATTATTAGAAATGTATCTCATTCTCATTTTTCTTTTTTCTTTGATATATACAGAAGAATAATATGGATAATGTATCTTTTTTTATTTTAAATGCTGCTTGCTCAGATTCACACTAAATCTGTCCATGAATGAGATTCGATTTCTTTTAAATCACTGACATTGACTAAATTTTTCCTTTGCTTCTCAAATGCCTGAATTCGACTAAAAATGCACCAGTGTAAAGACAGAAATTATGGAGGCGTCACCAGGGACAACTGAATGAGAGGAGGGAAGTGCATATATATCCTTATAAGGCAACAAAACATTCATGAAAGAAACTGACAAAAATAACTGTACCCAGAAATCATAGGAAATAACAATAATCTTTGATAAGTAGTTCAAAAATATAAAAACTGCTCACCTATAGATAAATCTGTATCAACAATTGGTATTCTCCTACTCAGCAATCAAATACAGCTAATGAAACTAATTCACTCTCTAGGCTCAGACAAGAAAAAGTGATAGAAACTAGGCTGAATATTTACACATAAACTATTTAACTGACAGCTGGCAGTTTCTTTTCTTCAATTTACCAGATGTTGAATGAATTAAAGATTCAGGTCAAAATAATAAAAGTCAATTCTGTGAATAGTTAACTAAATATAAATAACATTTTTGCGTTTCTCTGTCATTTCTTTGTTTTCTCTGACCTTTGTTTTCACTCCTATTCTGCTTGTTTGTTCCTACTTTCACTTTCTTCTCTCTTACTGTCCTTCTCTGATTATTTCCTCTCTTTCCCTTGGTGAAGGTAATGAAGCTCAAAAATAACATCTTGTATCCTGTTGAGAAAAACTTGGTCCAAACTATCCTTCCAGATCACAAACTCATTTTTAAATGTCTGTTTCCCAATCTGAAGGAAACAGGGCATTGTAGAAAATATGAGCTGCAACATCACTTACCGCTATCCACACCACAGCTTTTAATTTCTATACTGCATTCATCCCAAGGAGAACTGAGGTTTATTTATATAATACATAACCTCAAACAGGACTGCAAATAAGACTAATAACATGACCATTCTGGGGCACTCAAGCAAACGGCTGGGCAAAACAGATGGATCTTACTTTGCGCCAGAACTCAAAAAATACAGTCGCCAACTCACTGTTGGCGACTGCATATCTTGGCCCAAAGATGTACCTGGAAGTGGGACTGGTTGTCTTTGACATGAATACTGCTCTCTTCATATTTGCCTCATGAACAATTGATTAACTCTGTCACAATGCAGTTAGGCTCAGTGTTGGGTAGAAACTGGAAGGCAGGTCATTAAGAAAGTGAAAGTTTCTGAAGGGCAAACATTTAAGACAAGGATATTAATATTTTTACTATTATCTTTTTCAACTTTCTGACTTAGGTACTTGTTTTGCTCAAGTTCATATGTGTACACTGAATCCACCTTTCAAATAATAGATTTGTAGAGAAGATGACCTCAATAAGAACTTCCTGATATTTCAGCTTCAAAAGTCTTTTACAAATTTTTATTTTTGCAATACAGATTAATCTGTCCTTAAAATTGACAGCCAATGCCAGACTTCTCCAATTGGGGAAAAAAAAAAAAAAACTATGTAAAGCTTTATAGATTATAGTCAACATCTATTAGCTAATTGAAAAGCAGTTCAGTAATCAATGCAAATTATAAAGCCTGGAAGAATGCTTCCCTGGCAGAGATGTTTTAGCAAAGAATTTTATGTACTCACTAGTTAAAGACTCAGATTGGACATCCAGATAAGTAGCAAATGCAGCACTTTTCAGTAACCTATCCTGTAAGTTGCAAGGGCAGAAAGCTCCCAGTCAAAATGAAACCTGAAGGAGGTTGAGGAACTATAGAGCTTAACATTGAGTAGGAACAAAGGGCTGCTTCTGACTACTGCCAAAAATCCTCACATAGGTACAAGTTACACCAGATCAGAGATCTTCAAGAAAAGAACAACAAAGCATTACAATTTAGGAGGTCTGTTAATTTAGGCATTAAGGTATTTGCCTTAATGTTCTCCTAGCTATTAAGGCCCAATCATGTATTGCTCATATCATTTTTGACAGTTCATTCACCTCTGTATGATTTACACATTTTGATACATTTCAGATTTGATTTTTAAAAGATTCAAGCCTTGTATGTGCACAGCACAGAAAGCTAATTATAATACTTTTGGGGTTTTTTAATGTAAAAAAATTGAGACTTTTTAATGGAAAATTTTAAACATATGGAAAAGTGGCACACATAGTAATATGAATTCCCACCTATTCATCACCTACAGTTAATTTATTTTCATTTACATTATTACCAATTTTTCAACCATTAGATCACTTCTATGAGAATCTCAGGTACAACATTATCTCACCCATGATTACTTCAGTATGCATTACCAAAGTATAATGACTTTTTAAAAACATAACTAATTTTTCTCTATTTCAAATATAAAAAAAATAATTTAAGGAATCTGACTCAGGACACTACATCACACACAATTACTATGTCTCAATAGTCTCCTCCAGGCTATGACAATTTTTCCATCTTTCTTTGTTTTTCAGGACTTCCTAAAGCAGTGATCAGATTTTTTGTGTTATGTACTGAACTTGAACTTGTCTGATTTTTTTTTTTCAGAATCAGACTGGAATTATGAGGTTTAAGAATGAATAAAGTAGAGGAGAAGCATCTTTCTTATAATCCCAGGAACTAAGTGATACCAACCTGTGATCCTGGGAGCTTTGTTAATCATTTGGTTAAGAATCCTTAACCAAATCATCTGATCTCCTTCAGGTTTCTCCACAAATTCTTTTTGTTTTAAAAAGCATAACTTCATTTTTAAAAGCATGTTGTGAATTAACTCATATAACACCCAATTTATTAAGTGTACAACACAATTTTATATAAATTTAGAGTTGTATAACCACTCCCACAAACATTTTGGTCACCACCAAAACTTCTTTTATGTCCTGATGTAGTCAAACCCTGCATTCACTTCTGGTCTCAGACAACAACTAATCTGTCTTCTGTTTCTAAAACATTATCTTTTCTGGACCTTTCTTATAAATGTAGCTGTTTATGCAATATATAGTCTCTTTCATGTGGTTATTAAACTTATAATTCATTTTTAATTATATATGTGTGGCATGTAGCAATAATCTATTTTGTGGATGAACTGTCTACTATTGTATGGATATATGGTCATATGTTTATTCATTCATCAATTGATATACTCTGTATTGTTTCTAGTTTTTGACTATTATGAATAATGCTGCTATGAACATTCACTTACATATAAATGTCTGGTGGATGTACGTTTTCATTTCTCCTAGGTGGATGCTTTGAAGTGAAACTCCTTTGTTACAGAATGTTTAAGTTTAAGAAATTTCTAAACCATTCACCAAAGTGTCTGTATCATTTTACAATCTCACTAGCAAGGCTATTTTTTCATATGCTTACCTAATTTTGTTACTATCTTCTTTAGTATAACTACTATACTGGATGAAACTCCTCGCTTAAATTTACCTTTATCTGAAGATTAATGATGTTAGACATTTTTTATGTGATTATTGGCAATTACTTTCTCTTATTTGGTGAAATGTCTACTCAAAATTTTTTCCTAATTTTTGTTTTCTATTATTGGAGAATTTTGTACATATTATTCTAGTTACCAGTTTTGCTCTTTTTTAAAAATCAAGTTTTTGGTGTTGCATCTGAGAATTTAGTTTGACCCAAGGTAGTAAAGATTTTTCGTATTTAGAACTTTCTCCTATATTGAAATGTTGTAATTTCAGCTTTTAAATGTAGTCCATGACCCATCTTAAAAGTCTTTTATGTATGCTGAGAGGTAAGGATTTAAAACAAAATTTTATTATCCTTGTATCATGAATTTC